ACTAGCATAATTTGGCCAAATAAATACAACAACTATAAATGTATGTAAATTCATTGAAAAAAAAAAATAAATTAATAGATTTGCGTGAAATTTCTTTCGACACAGGCGGAATATTGATGATGATGAGACTACAGTGTGACGACTGCCACCAGCAGCAAAGCGGCAGCAACTGAAGTTGCAACAGCAACAGCTACAACAGCAACAACTACAACAGCAACGTGCAACAAATCAGTTTGCAACCATCAGACGCAAGCCCCAATTCAAGAGGCAAACTAATTACATTTAAATGAAGCTGGAAACACTTGAATAATTTATTGTATTCGCTGGCCACACAGAGACAGAGACAAAGACAGAGACAGACCCACAAATACCCTGTACATACCATAGCAGCAATGCATACACATACATATAAACATATATATATAGATATATACCGAATATATATTTTTTAGCATTTAACTTAATTTATACAAGAACAAAACAACAACTGCAACATTTATATATATTACAATTATATTAATTTATATATACATATATAAATTCGTATAGTTCATAATTTCAGCATTTACTTAGCTCCTATGTGCATACGCAGTGAATATATATGCATATGTATATGTGGAATATACATATATACATGTAAATATATTCATATATGTATGTATATGTTTATAAGTTTATATATACTTACGTATACTTAATATGTGTATTAAATAAAACTCAGACTGATTTTATGCATTTGTTTTGTGAATTTTCTTATATTTAAGAAATGCTTCAACATGGCTCAACATACACACACACACACACACATACACACAGACTTAAAAATGGTCAAATAATTATTAAGAAAGGGTATTCAGCAGTTCAGCTATATAGAAAATAAATAACTATATATATAAAACTGGCCCAGATGGCAAATGCAGCTAGGGTATAATATACCCTGTAAAGACATATAAATTTATATATACAAACACAGATTTAATGATATATACATACATATTTGTTCATTCAGCAATAGTAGAGCAAAAATGAGTTCTATTCATGAATATCCTGAATATAGATATCAAAATATATGCTACAATAAAAAAAAAAAAAAAAAAAAACAAAATCTAAACTAAGCTTGTTTATACTTCATGCCCTTGCAATAGCCCTTTACAGGGTATCCACAAGTCGCATACAGCTGAACTTTACTCCATCACATACGCATTTCATGTATTTCCGTTCGTTTTTTATGTTCTCGCCGAGTTTTAGCGAAAATGAAAATGAAACAAAAAAATTCGTGTGCCTCATAATTCTGTAGAGCTTATTATGCCAAATTAGTTCAAGTTGAGCGCATTTTCATGCAATGAAATATAAATGCAAAATAAATACATAAATACAAGAAAAATATGCTAAATGAAATTATTAATTAATTTGCACGCGTTGCCATTTAGTTGGAAATTGAAAGAGTTCTGGTAAAATAAACAAACAAAGCTTTTTATTCATTTATTAGATAAACCTAAAATGGAAATAAAATAAAATAAATGTACAAAAAGAGAAGTGGAATATGAAGCGCATAAATACTACGCACCATGATCAAAGTCTATATAAAAAGATATAAGCTCTAATACACACACACACACATACACATATCCAGCAATAAATGTCTATATAAATATGAATTACATAATGCTTTGAAACACAAATATATAATAAAATAAAAAAAAATTAATTGTAGCTAGCAACAGTTTTTGTGTCTGTGCAAAAATTAAAAGAAAAATAATAATAGAGAAAATAATTTGTGTGGCTAAAATACCAAAAGAAATCTATTTAAGCTGCCTGCAATAAATTCTTAATTAACCAAGCGAGAAGCGAAGCGAGAAGTGAAGCGAGAAGCGAAGCGAGAAACGAAGCGAGGATCAGCGCAACTGAATGAAAATCACTTTCAGTTGAGCTCTAAGAAGAAGAGCAGCAGATGTGAGCGAATATCTGATAAGCGAGAAGCATAGATAAGCTGCTTAGGCCATGGGAAATAGCTTAACCTGTGTCTAACTTATCTCTGCCTTGCTTCTCGTATCGCCTCTCGCTGCTGTTCTTCAATGTGAGTTATGCCATTGTTTCAAATTGCTTAACTAAAATTATAAATATAATAATGATAACAATAATTATGTGAATTGATATATTTAAATGTACATTTGCAAATACTTGAGTGTATTTAAATAAAATGTGTAAATTATAAAATATATATAAATGATTGTTTATTACACCAGAGAGTGAAGTCTTTCCTCAACTCTCTCTATTTTTTACTCCTGATATGATCTACTATTTATTACTGATACAGCTATAATAATTATGAATTTATATAAAGTATATATTTTATATATAGCATAACTTATCTGATCATGGACCACAAGCAGATCATGAGATCATACTTGAAGCAGTACTCCAGGAATCGCGCTTCCTGAACAAGAATTCTTTCTTTAATCATTCATCTTGGAGCAGCTCGTCCTTGCGATCCTTTCCTTCCTGATAAATAATGTCATCGTGCATCTCAAATAAAACAAAGTTCACTTAGTTTTTTTTCATATTTTGAATTTTTTTTTACGTTTATTCATTTTAATACTTTCAATATTATCCATTATTGTTATTTGTTTGTTTATCATTTATGCACGCATAAATAGTTTATTATTTGTTGTCTAAATTGTTGTTGAATAAACCCAAATACATATGCACATGGTTCACGTATACACAATATATATATACATATATATGCATGTGTGAGTGTGAGTATGTGAGTGTGTGTGTGTGTGTGTGTGTGTGTGTGTGTGTGTGTGTGTGTGTGTGTGTGTG